GGTAAACAGGCCAGAGTTGGATAAAGCAGCTAATTTTTTTTTTAAATTAACTAATCTATTTTTAGTTTTCAACAATCATTTCCAGAAGCTTTTGAGTTTTAAATTTTCTTCCCCTCCCTCCCTCCCCAAGATGGTGTGCGATCTGTTACAGGCTCTACATATACATCCCTATTAAACATATTATCACTTTAGTCATGTTGTAAAGAAGAATTAGAACCAATGGGAGGAACCACAAGAAAGAAGAAACAAAACAGAATGGAAGGAAAAAAAAAAGAGCAAATAGTATGCTTCCATCTGCACTCAACCTCCATAGTTCTTTCTCTGGATGTGGATAGCATTTTCCATCATGAGTCTTTTGGAGTTGTCTTGGATCCTTGCATTGCTGAGAAGAGCTAAGTCTGTCAAAGTCAGTCATCGCACAACATGAAAGCAGATAATTTTTAGGGCACCTTTTCTAGCCCCTTCCTCATGCCAGGAGGTGAGCAGTATGGTCCTTAAAAAAAGGCTCCTCATACACCCTAGGGGCTGCCAAATCCCACTGTTGCATCAGTCCAATAAAAAGACAACCCTAGGGCCTGGGTCGCAACTGTGCAGGGTAGTGACTACAGCTCTCTAGGAACCCAGGCTGGGAAACTCCCATAACACAAGCCAGCCTCTCCTTGGTTCCCTGAAGAAAAAGAATTAGTTCTCTCTGGCTACCAGCATAAAGAATATAAAGCAAAAGAAGCTTTCTGGAAATATGAAAAGATTTCTTGTAAATAAAGTTGATATGAAACACAGAAATTTCTGCGAATCATAGAAAACCACTTTTGGTCTTCACTATAGAATCTGCTACATCCCCAGAACCTCTGTTAAATTGATCAAATAAATGGTTAGCTAGGTGACACAATGGATTGAATGCCGGGCCTAGAATCGGGAAGACTTATCTTCCTGAGTTCAGATCTGGCCTCAGAAGCTTACTAGCTGTGTGACCCTGGGCAAGTCACTTAACCCCATTTGCCTAAGTAGTCTCATTTATAAAATGAGCTGGAGAAGGAAATGGTAAAGCACTTTGCCAAGAAAACCCCAAAAGGGGTCATAAAAAGTTGGACACAACGGAACAACAAAGCCATTCCAAACCTTTTCTTCATAAGGCACCTATCTCATAACCTCTCCCAACTGCCTCTCAGCAGACAACTTTGCCTCATACTTAACTAAAAAAAAAAAAATGAAGGCTATTTGTCCTAACCTCTCTCTCCTCCTCTATTCCATATTTCATATAAATGCAGGAGCGTCCCTGATCTTTTCCTTTGCTCTATTCTCAGAAAATCAGACTTTCTCCTTGCCAACACCAGCCACTCTGCTTGATCCTATTCTTTCTTTTCCAAAAGCTAGCCACTTTGACCATTCCTTCTTCCTAATTTTCAATCTTTCTTTATCCGTTGGTTCCTTCTCTACTACTTACAGGCATGCCCGGACCTCTGCCATCTTTAAAAAAACCTTCTCTTGACCCCACCATCCCTTCAAGCTATCATTCTTTCTACTTCTCCTCCTTTTCAAAGTCCAGCTCCGACAAAAAGCTAGCTATGGTATTGTCTGCACTTTGTCACTGCCTACTCATTTCTCAACCCCTTGCAATCTGCCTTCCAGATTCATCTAGACCAATATTGTTTTAAGGTCACCAATGATCTCTTTATTGCTAAATCCAGTAGCCTTTCTAGCCCTCATCCTTTTGACCTCTCTGCAGTGTTAGATCTGTTAAACAAATCACCTTCTCCTTTTATAGCTATAGCTAGCATTTATATAGGAGCTTTAAGGTTTGTAAAGGGCTTTACAAATGTTATCTCAGTTCATCCTCACAACAATCCTGGTAGGTAAGTACTATTATTGTTTTACATTTTACAGATAAGGAAACTGAGGCAAGCAGCGGTCAAATGACTTGCCAGGGCCACACAAAGGTCTGAAGCTGGATTTCAGCTCAGGTCTTCTTGACTCCAATGCAGGCTTTATCTATTTGCACCACTTAGCTGCTTCTGGTACACTAAATCTATGGGCCAGGAAAAAACAAGAAGTAATAGTACTATTTTGATGGTGATCTGCCAGTACTGACAGAGGGCTGTATCAGAAAAAGCTGGGTTACCTTGGGAACCTTTTCCTATGTCAAGGAGGAAAGGTAAATGGTCAAAATGCATACCAAGCCCCCGATGCATGTCAAGAGCTTTGCATTTAGCAGTCATTCCCTTCTGTACTCTCCCACAATTTCCTAACAAAGGTGTGTGGTGAGGAAGGCAGGCTCCTAGAAGACACATATCATAGGATTTGTCATTGTTCAGTTGTGTCAAACTCCATGTGACCCCATGGCTTGCCCATGAGGTTTTCTTGGCAAAGATACTGGAGTGGTTTACCATTTCCTTCTCCAGGATGTCCCCATTTTACAGATGAGGAACTGAGGCAAATAGGAGTTAAGTGACTTGCCCAGAGTCACACAGTTAGTCAGTCTCTGAGGTCAAATATGACCTCAGATCCTTCTGACTCCAGGCCTGGTGCTCTATCCATGGCACCACCCAGCTGTTCCTTACCATATGTGATGGTCACAAACAAAAATAACCTAGAATGAGCAAGCTACACTATAGTACATATGCCAGTGCTTACTGACCTCTGCCTTTAAAAAAAAATAATTTAAAAAAAGGATAATGCTAATTAGTATCAATTTAAAGAAAAATGATAAACCTTAATTCTGATTACTCTCTCCCATCTGGGTTTTTGTGACACTACTCTGTTGTGGTTCTCTTCCTATCCATCTGATTCCTCTCAGTTACTTTGCAGTTTAGTCATCTATGTTTAGTTCCAATGTATATAACCTAGGGCTCTGTACAGGGTCCTCTTATTTTCTTTTGATGCACTGTCTTGGTGATTTCTTCAGTTCCCATTGATTCAAATATCATCTCCTATGTAGATGACTTCTAAATGTACACATTCAGCACCCATCTCTGCCCCGAGCTCCAATCCTGCACCTCCAACTGCTTGTTGGACATCTCCATGTGAATGTACCATAGGCACCTCAAATTTGGCATGTCTAAAACAGAACTGATCATTGGCCATACTCTTCTTCCTAATTCCCCTATTTATGCTAAGGTCCTTTGCCAAGCTAGACTGCCAAGCGTTCAAACTAGTGCAGAGAGCGCAACTCTAATGGGTTGGCCACATTGTTCAAATAGCAAATAAATGTATGTTTGCCTAAGACTTTCATGGAGAACTCATGCAAAGCAGGCACCCACATGGTCAGAAGAAGCGATACAAGGACACACTCAAGGTCTCTCTGAAGAACTTTAGAATTCCATGACATGGGAGATGCTGTCAAAAGGACCAACATGGCATGCCCACATCAAAGAAAGCACTGTGCTCTATGAACAATGCAGAATTGTAGTAGCTCAAAAGAAGCATGAGATGTGCAAATTTAGAGACATCTCCACTCCAAATGTTCACGTGGACCATTTGTGCTTGACCTGTGTTAGAGCCTTCCAAGTTCACGTTGGTCTGATCAGCCACAGTCAGACACACTGTACCTGGACTTCAACATAGTGATGTCATTTTGGTCCTCTTCAAGGAGAATGAAGAAGACCAACCAAACAATGATTTATGCTGTGAGCACAATCATCCTTTCAGTTACCCAGGTTCACGATCTCAGCATCATTCTCCACTCCTCACCCCACATATCCAATCAGCTGCCAAATTTTTATCAATTTAGACTGCTCAATATTTTCCCCACCTGTCTTTTTCTGATCTAGTCCATCCCCTCTCCAACCATCCTCCAAACAGTTGCCAAATTTGATATTCCAAAATTCAAGTCTATCCATATCATTTCTCTGCTCAAGAAGTTTCAATGACTCCCTATTATCTTTAGGTTAAAGTACAAGCTAATTTTTTGGCATTCCACAATGTAGCTTCAACCTGTATTTCTAGATGGATTACATTAGTAGGTGCCCAACTTGTGACTGACTGGACTGATCCTCCCAGCTGTTAATGACATCTTCCATCAGTCTGCCTTTATTTTGTGTATGTCCTCCATTTACCTATCTGTGAACCTATTGCATCCCCATAATAGAATGTGAGCTCCTTGAGGAAAAAGTTCGTCCTCCTCCTGCATTTTTATCCCCAATATCTAGCATGGTGTCTGGAAGGCCATGGTGCTTAATAAATACTTGAATGATAATCCTATGACTTAGGAAACCAGGAAATGAAATTGAACATTACTGGCTTCCCATTGTAACAGGTTCTACCTGGCTTCTAGGGGTGCTAAATAAACCAGTGACTATATAGCAGCTAACACAGAAAATAAAGGGGACTTTGACTCGTCTTCTCAACCTGAACTGACAAAATAATCACCCAAGAATTGATAGGCTGACGAAAAAGAGAAATTGACAAATTGAAATTGTTGGTAGGAAACATATTCTTATAAAATGAGCTCAGAACATAATTAGGAAAAAAACTATCTCCCCAGAATATTTTAATTAAGTGGTAGTCTCTACAGGGATACATACTTAGCTGACTAAAACATTCAATCCTCAGTCATCAAATTCTCTTACTTCACGATGCCTAGGGGTTCATCTCCTGGAAATGTCACCAAAATAGGGGAAAAGTATGCATCTATAAAACCAGACTGTTGCCTGCATTTCTAGTCTGGCTACTTGAGGGTGCCATGTCTTTGTGGTGCATAGCATCAGCCTAGCTACTCAGCTGGTGTCCTAAAACCAGTAAATCTTGCTTTTACTGTACCCAGAGGAACTATGATTGATAAACCAACCTCCCACACCACCCAGCCATTTGATCAGCCTCAGAATGATAACAAGGTATAAGGGCTTTAACAAAAAACTGCCATCAAAACCTCCTTTAGGATAAGGTTTCTGTACCTGTGTGAATTGAAATCAACAGAATGAATAAAGTATGTGAATGTGAGAATTAGGTACAAAGTTTATTTCAAATAAAGGGAAGGTCAAAGCATGAAATTAAAATTCTGTATACGATTTTTAAGTCTCAAGTGGTCTTCAGTACAAATCTATTAGTAATCAATAACAAGGGAAATTAAATTAAGGTCTTGAGTTTTCTTTTTTAGTAAGACTACGTCTTCTGATTAGGTATATAGATGGGAAGGATGATTGAGCAGGGCGGAAAGACAATCAAGTGTCATAAACATGTTGTCAGAACAAGATATAAACAAGAAACATGGTCCCTACAGTAAAAAAGCAAAATGGATGAGAAATTTTTTTAAATAAATTTTTATTTCTCTTTTGTTCTTATATCACTTACATTTCTCAACGTACACAGGTATTGCTTATAACAGAATAAGAGGAGGAAAAACAGAATAGCAAACTAATCAACATAACAAACAAGTCCAACATTATGCACAGTGTTCCACATCCACAGTCCCAGGGTTGGAGACTTCTTTTATCTTTTTTTTTCCTTTGGGCCAAGCTTATTATTATATTATATATAATTATATATTATTACAATTTTGAAATGAGTTCAGTTTCAATGGTTCTGTTGTTGTCGATCTTTCAGTTTACATGATTGTGGTCATTGTGTATGCTAATTTCCTACTTCTGCTTTCTCCTCTTGGTTATTAGTCTTAGCACATTTCTCTGTATTCATTTCTTACAACACAGTAATATTCCATTACGTTGATGAACCACGACTTACTCCACCGGGCCCCCAGTGATGGGCATCTCAGTTTCTTGCTCCTTGCTACTACAAAAACTGCTGCTATACATTTGGGTGTATACCATCTTTCTCTTTTTCACTCTAAGTGACAAGAGTAAGGGCTCTTCTTTGCTATTCTTTGCCTCTCCAAAGCTGAACACAAGGCCTGGCACACAGTAGGCACCTAATAAATGCTACTTGACTGGATTTGCAGCATATTCCTGGCAATGTAATCTACGGGTATAAGTATGGATGTTTTGGCTATTTTTTTCCTATTACTCTACAAATGCTTTTAAAAATGGTTGGATCAAGTCACAGCTCAGTGGGTGATTTTCAAAGAAGTCAGGGAATCAAACTTAATTGCTGTTTTCTTTGGTGCTTAGCAAGACGGATGAGTTTAATTAAGTCTTTTCAAAGGTTTTTAAGGTGGGGTCCATGGACTGATTTCAGGGATCTGTGAACTTGAATGGGAAAAAAATTACATCCTTATTTTCCCTAAGCTCTAAATGAATTTTAGCATTTCTGTCAATTATTTAAAAACACTGTTCTGAGAAATGGTTCAAAGGTTTCACCAGGCTTCCAAAAGGGTTCACGCCACAGAAAAAGAGGAAAACCCCTGGTCTCTATCACTTTGTTGAACCCTGTAAAAACCAAGCAGTTTTAAAAGGGCCTATAACTGGCTTTTAATAGTATCAGATTTTCACAGGCTCAACCAATTTACATTGCTTTTTGCCAAAAGACAGCGCAGTATGGTGAAAGGTACACTGCCTCTGGTGTCAAAGACCCTGAGTTCAAATCTCACCTGACATTTATTAAACCAGTATGGCCCTACTTCTTATTCTCCCTAGGCCTCAGTTTCCTCCCCTGCAGAATGAGAGCATTGAAACAGATGGCCTCGGAGATCCCAAATCCCCTTGGGTTTCTCAAGTTCTACATCTCACAAGGGCAGCAGGAATCACATGGTGGAGTTGGCTTTTTCCTCCCCTTGTAGCCTATTACTTCTTTGACTGGGAGTATCACCACGTCATGGATGATGCACCAGACATGAGAGTTAGGAGACCTGGATTCAAATCTTTTCTCAGACACTGAATAGCTGTGGGAGTTGAGGTAAATCACCCAGCCTCTAGGTCTCATTTCCTCTCTTATAAAATGAAGGGGCTGGAATCGATGGACTCCAAGGTCTCATCCAGCTCCAAGTCTATGATTCTATGAGTCTACGACTAAGCACAACACATTCTAAGAGTTTAGAGGCTCTCTACTCTTTATCTTTTTATGCAAAGCACAAACTTATATTTTACCTCACCACTGAAACAGAACCAGCTTTCTGCCAGAGGAACAGAGACTAGAAGTTAAAATGAACTGGAATTCTCTGACTTAGGACTTTACACTAATAAATATTTCAAACAATTCCTGGAAGACAGAACGATACAGCAGGAAGGGAGTTGGACATGAGAGCCAAGCGGCTGAAATCCCACCTCCAATATCTAACTGTGAGTATCAGTGAATGGGGGCGTAAGACATTTGATTTGATCTTCAGTTTCCTCTTTAATGATAACAACACTTAAGAGTCCCCACCTCACATGACTAACGTGGGGATCAGATGTCAGAGGGAATGGATGAAAAGCCCTTTTTGGACTTTGAAGCACTACGTGATTATCAGCTATTTTCACATTTTCCATATTTGTTTGCTTTTAAATTTTCTTACACGGTCACATTTGTTAACAACAGCACTGTAACGGTACTGGTTAGTAATCAAGTGTCAGTCTTTTTCACTCCCCCATCTTTGACAACTGCTCATTCTATGAACCCTAGAGTCTGGCCTCTGCCCCTGACGTCCTGCCCTAATTCCTTCGGAATTCAATCCTCCTTGCCACATTCTCAGCACCAAATTTTTTTATCAATTTACTTCTGGTATTCTCATCATCCTTCTGCAAATCGACATCATCCTGTCGGGTCCAGATTGGATATCCATCGGGTCGCTGGCCCGTCTGCAAGAAGGAGCAAGTGGCTTCCAGCTCCCCACTGTTTTTCAAGAAAGCTTGTGTGACTGTTGCTAGATCCACACTAAACTCCTCCATTACATGTCTGATGACTCTGATGGCAGCTCCCACCTCGGGTGAAAGAGAAGAGTTAGAACCGCTTTCCTCTGCTTCAGGCTGTGTTTCTAATACAGCGGAGTCTTCAACGATCTCGCTGTCCTTTGGAGCCTCTTTCAAATTGGCGTCATTTTTTCCAGGACTGGTCAGCTCTCCATTTTTAACCACAGTTAATTCAAGATCAGGGGTCTGATCATGAACCTAAAAGTAATGAAATCAGAAAGCTGAGGTAGATCATATTATCTAAAACAACTAAAGGAGAAAGGTAATTAGGACCCCAAGCAGTTGTTACAGGATTTTATGACCAAAGGGAATGTTAGAGATGACCTGGTGCGGCTCTCTGATTTTACAGATGACAAAAAGAGGCTCGCCACAGCAGAGACTTTACTCCAGGTCATTAGTGACCAGCAGAATCAGGAAAAAAACAATTCTCCTAATTCCAGTTCAATATTGTGAACTGCATTGCTATTTAAAGTCTGATTGAACTACAATTGAGCACATTCCCATCCACTGTACATGGTGGACAGATCACTATAAACCACATACTTGGAGGAGTGTTAAGAGCTTCTACGGTGGAAATATAAAGTCAAATGCAGATCGTTGGCTGGCAAGAAGCAGCTAGTTCCCATAGACTTAACTATATTATTTTTTAAAATTAATTTAAAAATATTTATGTTTTTCTTGTTATGTCTCAAAAACAGACTAATGGGGATCATTTTAATGACTAATCTTCAGTGTGGGATAGTGGACATAGAGCTAACCTCAAAGATGAGTCAGATGTGAGTTCAAGCCCCACCTCTGGGCAAGTCACCAAAAGTCTAAGTACTCAAGGCAGTGCTCAATAAATGAGGATCTATGTGAGTAGAGATCCCTATGCCAATGAAATCTCAGGTTCAATCCCCATTCCTGTTCCTGATCTGGTTCCCTTTCCAGTTCATACATCTTTCCACATCCCATCATTCAATTTGGAATGTCAATACATATTAGAAATTGTACTGAACATGGTTGAGACACATAGTGACACAAAGCTATACTTGATAAAAAGAAAAAAAAGTTGACATTTTCTTTCTTATTGTTTAAAGCTAAGTTTACATTCTTGAGGACCATTAAAATTGCTTTTCCAAAAACATAAAGCCCAATTTAAATAAATAAATGACTAAAGTGAGTTTGGGACCAGTGCCCAAAAGAGATGTATTTTATAAATGAACATACCTACCGTATTGTTCTCTCCCCACCCCCTTAACTGGAGCAGTTCCATTTTCTAGTCCTAACAGACCCTCTGCCCAGGACCTTCTTGGGGAATCCTCACCTTCAATTATGCTCTGAACTGCTCATGTGTCTGTGTCTACATCTCTGGTTTGTGCTGAGCAGTCGATCAAAGGAGATGACTGGGAGGTGGAAAAAAGTATTTAAGAAAACACTCCCAAACGATGAGCAGGCAGACTTCAGAACAACCTGGAAAGACTTGTATCGAATGATGCTGAGTGCAGCGAGCAGAACCAGGAGAACACTGTACGTAATAACAGCCACACTGTGCAATGACTAACTTTGACAGACTTAGCTCTTCTCAGCAACACAAAGCTCTAAGACATCTCCAAAAGACTGATGATGAAAAATGCTATCCACATCCAGAGAAAGAACTATGAAGTCTGAATACAGATCGAAAGCATACTATTTGCTCTTTTTTTTCTTCTGTTTTGTTTTGTTTCTTCTTTCTTACGGTTCCTCCTATTGGTTCTAATTCTTCTTTACAACTAATGTGAAAATATGTTTAATAGGAACACATATGTAGAGCCCATGTCAGATTGCATGCTATCTTGGGGAAGGAGGAAGGGAGGGAGGGGGAGAAAATTTAAAACTCAAAAGCTTATGGAAGTGATTGTTGAAAACTAAAAATAAATTAATAACAAAAAAAACACCACTCTTTACAAACCTCACTATTCTCAGCCTCCTGGTTTTCAAGGCACAAAACGTCTCCCTCTGTTGTTTCATTCTCCTGCACTTTCTCCTTTGCACTATCTTCCTCAGGCAGATCAGGGGCTTTTTTCTTCTGGGGTTCTATAAAAGACAAAAAAAAAAAATACCCAAAAAAGTGAACATCAAGTATTAGCTATTTCTGCCCAAACAGAGAATACATTTTCCACCCCATGTGCTTCAATCCAAGGATGGATCCCAGAAATACATCTTTTGATTCAACTGACACCTGAGGAAGCAAAGATAGGGAATAGTGAGAACCTCTACTCTCACTTCTGAAAAACAATAGCCTACAAGGACACGAGTATTCCTGGGCTCTGAAATATAAAACAAACACATTCTTTTATTTAAGTAAAAGGCTAGAAATGTTTCTAAATGTCAATTTTCTCAAATAACTAATCATTTGAAAAGCTTATCATCTTATTTTAAAATCAAGGCTTTTCCAAGAACAAGGGACCCCAAACCCTTCCTTAAACTACTGAGGAATGTAGGAATACTGGAAATTCTTCTTTTTTAAAAAACGTAAAATCCTTATAGTTTTTATCTGTAAAGTGCTATGCTATCACCATCAAGCAATGAGGATCCAAATATTCTTGATAATATGAGATTAGAAACCAGAGATATGTGTATGTTCCTTTGCTTTGACCTCCCAAGAGTTTGGTGGCTTCTTTTAGGCATAGTGACTGCCCAAGCAGCCTTTTAGGGCTTGAAGATACAAGTTCCCCCTTAGAGGGTTCACCACAGATTTTCTGTTGAAAGAGGAGGAAAGAAAAGATTGGTTTGGCAATTTTTCACTTGGGGAATTTAACCTCAAAACACTAGTGCTTGTTACTACCTATCTTGGGTGATGAGTTAAAACAGTAATAGTACAGTCTTGCAGTTGCATTGATCCTTTTCACATACACTACCTCATTTGATCCTAACAAGCCTCTCAAGTAAGCAAAACAGGCATGCTTATTAGTGTTTTTCTCATGAGGAAACGATAGCTCAGAGGGGCTAAGTGATTTAGCCAATGTCACACAACTCACAGGCCAAGAACCAATATCTGCCCATTCCAAAACCAGTGTTCTTTCCACTATACCTCATGTCAAGTGAATAAACACATCGTGAGAGAATTTTGATTTTCAGCCTCTACAAGTTGACCTCTTGCTTCTCATTTCTAGCCTTTTCCCTACAGTCTTTCTTTCACAGCCTGTCCTCTAGTGGAATGAGGAATGAGTAGCAAGGTTACCATCTGGCAGGATGGGGTCAAAAGGGCAGCTATTCCACAAACTCCACCAGTGAGTTAATGGCTTATGATTGGCTAAGCACTTGATTCTAAGGCACTAAACAAAATCAACAAATGCAACAAGGTTGAGCTGTTCAAAAACTTAAAAATCACGGAATTGACTCTACTCTTGCTGGCACTTTAGTGGCTTCCTTTGGGTAGAGTGACTGATCAGCCCCTTTAGTGCTTGGAGTCAAATATGAGTCTTGGGGGGGAAGGGGAAAGATTGGCTAAAAGGTAACCCTTATGCAAAGCTGGTTGTCGGGCTTGCCTGAGGTCACAATGGTTGTAAAGGTGGCAGAGCAGGATTCAAGTCCTGGTCTTTGGATTCCACTTCCAATCCTTCCTTCAACCACGTTTTGTCCTATATATTTGGAGTCATAATTATTTGTGTGTAAACATATCTCATCCTTTTCTCCAATTACACTAAGTTCATTAAGGTAGGAATTCCTTTTACCCCCTTTGCATCCTGATTATTACTAACACAAGTGCTCTGTACACAGTGATTACTTGAAGAGCATTTGCTCAGTTTGGTTTTGGGGGGAAACCTTCTGAATGAATGCAAAGGAACATAAGTGGCTCGGGAAAACTTGGCTTCCATACAATGAGAGCCCAAACAATTTTTCCCAGATGCCTAAAAAGAAAAACAAATGTGTTTTAAGGTATCCAAAACATGGATCTTTGGTGGAAGGAGCAAAATTAGGAAGTTTTCTTCCATGGCTACATTTGTTAGTTGACAGTGTCCAGTAAAAGCAGTCATTACCACCGTCTGCAGGTTCTGCTTCTGCTTTTCTCTTGGGCTTCTGAGATGGGCTGACCGGTTCGGCCCTCTCTAGATACTTCTGCTCCAGACCCTTCAGGTGCTTCTGGTACCGGTCCTTCATGGACTGCCAGGGATGCGGGGTGAGGGCGGCTTTCTCCATGGCCTTCCACAGGGCGGTGCCCGCCAGGGCGCTCGGGGAGCGGGCACTGTCCTTCACGTAGCGGACGATGGCCAGGTCCTCGGCCTCTGTGTAGGCCCCCTCGGCCTCCCTGGAGGCCGCCTGGGGGCTCTCGGGCTCCCTGCGGCCCAGGCGGTAGTCCTCCAGGTCCAGCCTCTCGTTGCGCTCCACGCAGTCCGTGATGTACTGCGTGGAGATGAAGTCCCCCGAGGCTTCGGCCTGCGCCTCCCCGGGCTGGGCCAGCAGCACGGCCTCGGGCTCCTGCACCCGGCACAGGGTGCCTCCACCGTGCAGGATCAGCGTGGACAGCCGCCGCTTCGCGGGGCCCGGCCGCACATAGAACGAGATCGAGCTGCCGTCCTCACGAATGAACAGCGTCCGCGAGTGGGTCGGGTCGTTGGGGTCCTTGCCCATCTCCAGGCCCTCGGCCATGACCCTTCGGGTCTTCGGAGAGGAGGCGGGGGTGCTGGTGCGAGCACGAGCACGCACGATTCGCTCCAGGCCTACTCCACCACCGGAGGCTGGAAGTACTCCTTTATGCGCTTGCGCTCACCCTTGACCCCACCAGCTCCAAGGCCTCACGACCTTGTAGCCAGATCACGGGTGCTCGCCAGTCCCTAGTCCCATCTGCGCGTGCGCTCGCCCAGCTCCTTTTACCCCCGCCAAGGGAGCAGCCTATGCGCATGCGCCCTCACTCCGTGACACGAGAAAGCCAGGTTCACCCGAACTACGCCCACCCCCAGCCCGCGAGCAAACAGCCTGGGCGCGCGCCTCGCCCCCTCACGACGGGCAGCAAAGGGAAGCTGAGGCACCGAGTGGGATGGGGACAACCTGACGCGCCAAACGGTCGACTCCCTTGGCGTGGTCCAGCTGGCCTCAAAAAAGACGGTAGCCTACCGTGCCCTACAGCCAGAACGGTTCCAGGAAGCGGCGGGCTTGATGGGAGTGACCCGGAAGCGGCTCCCTGACACCTCCTCCCTTTCCTGTCGGGCTCTCCCGGAAAGATGGCTGTAGTGTAAGGAGTGGCGGTAACTGGAGGTACCAACGGAACGAAACTGAGAACGAATTTAGGGGGCAAGCGCCGCTGACGGAGACGTTCGGGCTCGTGAGATCCGCAGGGACTGGGACTTGGAGCCGCTCGGGAATGGGGTCATTCCGCCCTCACTGACGCGCTTCGAAGAAGCCGCCTTTCATCTCCGGAAACTACAAATCCCGAGACGCACCGGGCTCGGCTGGCCGGCTGGAATTCGCTCTGGGGGTTCCGTTGTCTGGGGCAATCCTTTCCAACGCCTGGTCTCTACCTGTGTTCGTTCGCTTTATGGGGAAGGGGAGAAAAGAGCTCGGGAAAAGTGAAATACTCTTTTGTTATTGAACTCTGACAGTTTAAAAAGTTTAGAGGAGACCCAAGTGAGTCCTAGACTCAGCTAAATAGGGGTTTGGAACTTCATAGATGGAATCATTGCTGTCCCGAGGATCCGAGCAAGATTTCCCTTTTGACAGCAGGTTAAATTCCATTTTTCACAAAACAGCCCTCAGAAAAGAATTGTAAATGAGTTTAGAACCTCTCTCTAGCCGTTCGTAATTTGTGCTGGCCTCACTAATATTGGCATTTCTGAGCCGTAAATGTAAAAACAGTCTATCTTTTGCCCATCAGTAATTTTTCTTTTGCTTGAATGTTAATGTGATGAATAGGTATCATATGGAGAGAAGGTACTTGTTACTTTCCAAACAAATGTTCAAGCTTAGGCATATCCATTGAGTTTGTGTGCAGCACCTTGGCTGACTGTTCTTTACTATTAGAAAACTTTTGTGTGAATTGGGTCAACAGTGTTTTTCTTATGTATTCTATTGTCTTTAATCACCAAACAGATTCAGTAACCTAGTGTTGAGGTAGAAGCAGTAATTGCCTACTGGTAAGAAATAAGGGCTTGGAGTCAAAAGAGAGTTGGTTTTATCGTGTGTCCAGAGACAACAGGAAATATTTCATGATATATTTACTTGGTCATCTCATTATAATGCTTATTATAAGCACTTGCAAAAAGCGTCCTGCTTGAAGATTTAAAAAAAAGTGTGTAGCTTGTGTACTTCCATCTGTTGCTGAGGATAAGGATGTAGAGGAATTCCATGGAGAACTTAAGACCCTGGAAATTAAATCAATGTGCCTTAATACTCCATTATTTCAATGAAAGATAGGCCTAGGGTGAACCGACATTGCAAACATACAATGAACTAGGTCTAGAATGGAATAGGAGGAAGAGAGTGGGCTGGATTGCCTTTGGGGAATTGTGCAGTGCTTTTAAAATACTTGTTCTTTAGAAACTTATTCTTAATTATATCAAGATCAAAGAAATAAAGACCATTAATCATATTGAAGAAAAATGAGAAAGGAAAATTCTAAACTCTTTTCTGATGAAGCCTTTGGGGCATTCTCATTGCTCTGAATCTTTAGAAAATCGATAGGGGCATGGCCTAGAGCCTTAACTTAGTGGAACTGAGCCGGCTATATGTGATGCCTTATGAATACATATGGGGCTCCTCAGGCTGCAAGTTAAGGTTACAAATAATTTTGGTTTAGGGCTGAAGAGATATTAGGGTGAGGTTGAGGTTATGGTAGAAGTTGAACTTGGAAAAACCTAATCCATCTCCTGAATTCATTCATATTACCTAATGGTTTTGGATATTCATGTTTTATATTCATCTAGTGGCATAATTTAGAATTTAATTTTTAGATGTGGTCAGATGCCTTGGGGAAGAGGAATGCATCAAAATAGCTTGATTATATTTATAATTATATATATGTTATATATATATATAATTATATTATTTGTAAAGTGAATGAGATGTAATCTCAAAATGTCAGAGTAAAACAGATACTGACTTTGAGGTGAGAAAATTTGGGGTGGAGTCTCAGTTCATCTCATCAAACTCTACCATTTAACTATCTGTATGACCTCAAACCAGTTTTTTCACCTCTTGACCTCAGTTTAATTGTATGTAAAATGAGTTATTTTAACTAGATCTGACTTTCTCTGATTTAGTCTCATATTGTTGCGCAACCTCAGAACCTCCAGACTGAGTATTAGTATATAGTGGCAATTGTCTCTCATGATTTGACTCTACACAGAGAAACTTACCGATTACAACATAGTTTTCATCTATTTCTCAAAACTGCTCTTAACTCCCTTATATAACATTGAACAAGCACTAGCTGTATGTATGTCAGGTATTGTCCAGAACATCAAAAAGATTCCTGCTCATTTGGCTCGTGGGCAAACTGAACTTTGTTGCTTCTCTCTATGAGAGCTTCTTTTTCCATATAAATAATATTAATCCAAACCATTCTTAGTTTTCTAAAATTTTCTTTTCCTTTTTCCTTGGAAAGAAGTTGGTCAATTTCTGAGGCTTGGTTTTAGCCTTGGCAGTTGTCCATGGAATGAAATTCATAGTAAAGTTTTCATTCCCTTTCTCCCAGAGATTTGAGATAAGGAGAGAACAGGGCACTAATGAGACTTCATGAACTACTATCATATCCCAAGTGAGTTTTTCCCTCACAGTGTGCTGGAGGAAGACAGTTTCCTAAATTTTCGTATCCTCAATTTGTTATTGAACTATAGCTTTATTGAGACTTGGCCACAAATGGGCCTCCCTCAGAAGTCTCGGACTGAAAACTCCTTTGTCAGTCATAGAATAGTTGTGTTATGAGAGGCAACAAGAGTCTCCTCGGGCCAGAAAGGGCCTTTTTGTTTCTGCGTTGACCAGGTGCCCATTCTGACCCAGCATGTCTGTTTCCCTTTAGGCAGCAGTAACCATTAGTCCTGGGGTGTTCTGCCATGTTGAAGCAAGCTGTGGTTAAGCTTATTCAGGGGCCATTGCACCAAGCCTGCTGGACAAAATGGGGTTGGAGGGGACTTCGGCTGGATCATCTTGTACCTGTCACCCCACTTCACAAGAACAATGCCCTTTCTGATAAAAGGAGGTTGGTGTGGCTGTTACCTTCTCCATTGTCATATGAGCAAAACTGATCTTTCTTTCTGATTCAGAGAGGTCTAAGATGTCTCTAGGTCCATTGCCACAGAAAAAAGGAGTCTTGTTAGCAACATCAGGACCTAGTTCTCATCTATTGCTTAAGGAATTCAGACTCCCTTTTCTCTCAGGCCCCAAATTAGCTCTTTGGGAATACAGAAGGTTTTGTTTTGGGGGTGGCCCTGAGATCATTATTGCCCCTAGAAAGAGCAGTACTTACAGTGATTGTGACTTTTCATATCACGAGCAGTTACTTAGGAAGTTCTTATTCTCATGCTTAGACATTTTGTTTCTAATCCTATTGCCAAACCATTAGGGAAGTCTTTAGGAGTATCTTGATGTGGTTTTATTTTTATTTATTTATTTATTTATTTATTGCTTTTTGGTGAGGCCTTTGGGGTTAAGTGACTTGCTCAGGGTCACACAGCTAGTAAGTGTTAAGTGTGTAAGGCTGGATTTGAAATCAGGTCCTCCTGACTCCAAGGCCAGAGCTCTATTCACTGCGCCACCTAGCTGCTCTTTGATGTGGTTTTAAAGAGAAATATATAGGAAAAAAAAATTAAATTTTCTTCATAACCGGTGGAAAAGTAGTAAATCTTCAAATTGCAGTTATCTGAAATAGAGTGTCATAGAATTCCACAACTAGTTTTGAGAAAATTGCTAATGTGGTATAGCCAGTAATTAATGGGAAGACACATGGACTTGCAATCAGAACACTCAGAAAACCTGAAATCAATGACTTTTATTTATCAGTGATGTAACCTCAGGCAAGTTACTTTACTTCTTAGCCTATCAGTAAAATGAAGGGATTATGCTAGACTATTTCTAATGTTACTTCTAGCTTTAACATTCTGTGATTCTATGAATCAGGCTCCTTTGCTTAAAAGGAGTATGCTTCACATGCCTAAATAAATGTTCTCTGGTAGATTAGGTCAGCCTGATATGATGCATCTAGACTCAATCATTGAACCCTGAAGTTTTAACAATCCAAGCCTGAATTCGTATGTTTTATTATAGTGTAAGCTAAAATTGTCTTCAAAATGAGGACTTCATTCTCTGTGACCCTGCATTCCCCTGCAGACAGACTGACTTAGGGTAATTACCCTGTTTAGAAATTGTTTAGTTTTCTTGTACAACCAGTTTCTCTTTGTGGATAGAACTTCCTTTCTGGGAATGCAGAGGTAAAGGACCTACAGAGGCAGTCTTGACTTGAAAATAATCGAGGACTGATCACTAGAGAAACAAATTTTTAAAAAAAATTTTTGAACTTCAAACTTGGCCTTAGAGTCTCCTTTACCTTGCTTTCTTGGTAAGTTTTGCCTGGGTACTGAGAACTAAGTAGTTTCTTGTCTTTTCCAAAATTTTTTTTTAACCCACTGATTGTTTGGTCCATGCCCTCTTTGGTTAAGTGACTGAATTGTTAAGTGATGTCTTTTCTAATGGAAAACTGCTAGGCTTAGAGTGCCTTGGGAAGTAGATGTGTAACAGAGTATGGTTAGGGAGATACTCAGTGCTTGCTTCCCCTAGGCAGCCTCCACAGTGAATTCTGTTATCACCTTTACACAGTGAGCTGAAGAGACATTTGAAGGATGAAGAGGAGCTCAGTGAGAAGCAGCTAAGTCAAGCCCCTGCCACCAATCACTCTGTTGACCATGGTGTGCCCACTGATGAAGAGAGCCTGGATCCACATGTGAGTTTCCTGTGCCCCAGCTCACCAGTGTTAGAGCTGACCACCTCTCTGACTCCACTCAGCCATACAAGTCAGGGTAGAAGACAGAATACTATTCTTTTAATCTGTTCTGAGAAATCCTAAGAGAGAGTGGCTCAGAGAAATAAGCAAGGCAAGAGCTTTTTGACTTGTCACTAGTCCCTTGAGATGTTTTTAAGCCTATTGATTAATTGAATGAATGAATGAACATTTATTAAGCAGTATGTGCCAAGCACTGTGCTAAAATAAAATGTGGACAATGGTGATATCATTGATTTTATTGGAAAGAAGGAGCCAATTGCCGTGTGTGTGTGTGTGTGTGTGTGTGTGTGTGTGTGTGTGTGTGCTGAAGAAATGTAGAAACCAACAGAAATGATGTTCCAGAATATTTTTGTTAATTCACACAAACTGAGCTTCATGTGAATAAACAACTCCGTTCCCCTCTAAAATGATGAGTTTTCTCCATTGTAGACAGGTTTTCTCTCATCCTATATATTGAGAAACAAGGTCTATAAGTAAAGTAAGACAGATGAATTTTTCAGAATGGGAGCCAGTGATTTGTAAATCTTTTTATATGATTGGTAGAAAATCTCAAGACCAAAAAAATGAAAGTGACTGTCGGTGTACATACAGGACAGAGAGCAGGAGGTTACGAAGGGGAAAAGCAAAAGCTAAAGAACAGGGTAAGGCTGTATCTGTTTTAGAATTGAAACAGTGGCCCTCAAAATCTGAAAGGATGCCCAAAGCAATCTATTGGAGAAGAAAGTTGAGAATTGCTGATCTTAATAATATATTCTTTGGAGTAATTTGGAACTATGCCCAAAGGGCTATAAAGCTGTGCCATACCCTTTGATTCAGCAATACCACTGTGAGGTCTATATTCCAAAGAGATTTTTTTAAAAAAAGGGAAAAGGGAAAAGAGCCTATTTGTACAAAATATTTATAGCAGCTCTTTTTGTGGTGGCTAAGAATTGGACATTGAGGGGCTGCCCATCAGTTGGGGAATAGCTGAACAAGTTGGCTATATGATTATGATGGAGTATTGTGCTATAAGAAATGTTGAGCAGGATGATTTCAGAAAAATCTGGAAAGACTTAGATGAACTGATGGAAAGTGAAGTGAGTAGAACCAGGAGAACTCTGTACACGGTAACAGCAATATTGTATGATGATCAACTGTGAATGACTTAGCTATTCTCAGTAATACAGTGATCCAAGACAATTCCAAAGGACTCATGATGAAGCATGCTATCCACCTCCAGAGAAAAAACTAATATTGTCTGAATTTTTTACTTCCTTTCTTCCTTCCTTCTTTCCTTCCTTCTTTCTTTCTTTCTAGTCTTGTACAAAATGATTAACAGAAATGTTTTACATGATTGCACATGTATAACCTATATTGGATTGCTTACTGTCTCATGGAGGGGAGGGTTAGAATTTGAAACTCAAAACTTAAAAAAAAAATGTTTACAAATTGTTTTAACATGTAATTGGGTAAAAAAAAATACGTATGAGTACCTATTAGAATAGAAACAGCTTCAGGGCACAGACTGCCTCACTCTTGTACTTGATGTCCCCAGTATCTGGTATGTAGTAGAAGCTTAGGTAGTGCTTGTTGATCGATCACTCCCAATATGAACCTCATCAGAGCTGGGTTCCCTTCAGTAGGAACAATTTTTGTCTTAGTTCAGGCCTTCATCACTTTTCACCTGGATTGTTGTGATGGCTTGATTGATCTTCCAGCTTCTAGTCTCTTCTCGAGCCAGTCCATCATCCCATCTGCCACATTATTCCTAAAATTTGTGGACTCATGTCCGCAAGCACTTATTATGTGCTGATCCCCGGGGACAGAGATTCAAAAGTAAGACAATCTCTGTATTCAAGGAGCCCTCTGTCTGCTAGGAAGCTAGAACATGTTCGCAGAGGAATAAATTATAGATAAATATGAAATTTTTATGTACTTTGCAGGGGTTCAGAGCACTAAAATTAAGGGAAGCGGGGAAGGCCTTTTGGAGGAGGTGACATTTTAGCTGAGGCTTGAGGAGAGCTCAGGGTTCTATGAGGCACAGAGAGGAAGGGAGAGAACACGGTCTCTGCAGGAGGCTGGAGCTAGAAGGCCCGGAATGGTCGAGGCTGTCTGGAACGTCAGGTTTCTGGGGGCAGGGGGGTGAGCTGCCCAGAAAGATGGCTCGAACCTGACTGTGAGAGGCTTCTGGTGACAAATAGAGCAATTTATGTTTTCTCCTGAAGGCAGTGTCTGTGTCACCCCCTTTATTAAGATATCTTTGGGTGCCCTCTTGCCTCTAGATAAAATACAAAATCCTCAGTCTGGCATTTAAAGCCCTTTGAAACCTGGTTCCTACCAACCTTTCCAGTCTTACACCATGTCACATCCCTTCATGCTCTGTTACCTGTAGGTAACATTTCATCTTCTACCTTGGATGTGTTTTATCACAGCAATATCACAAGATCCGCAGCCAGGCGATCCAGCAGCTGAAGGTCAATGGAGACAACCCCTACCCACACAAGTTCCATGTAGACACCTCACTCACCCACTTTATCAAGCAGTACAGTTATTTGCAACCAGAGGACCATCTGACTGATGTCACCTTGAGAGTGGCAGGTATGTAATCCTCTCCCATCAGATAGTAGTGTGCGCTGAACTCCCATTATGGGGGCAGCTGGTCACAGAGTGCACAGACTGCTGGGCCTAGAGTCAGGAAGACCTGAGTTCAAATCCAGCCTCAGACACTTACTAGCAGTGTGACCCTGGGCAAGTCCTCTGCTTGCCTCAATTTCCTCACCTCTAAAATGGGGATAACAATAGTGCTTACCTCACTATCAAATGAGATGATATTTGTAAAAAGCACTTAGCACAGGGCCTGGCATATAGTAGGCTCCAAATAAAGGTTTGTTCCCTCCTTCCCATTATAAAGTGTGCTGTGACCCGATGTAATGGACACAGTAGAGAATGTCCCTCCCTTAAAGAGTCCCTTACAGTCTGAAGGCTAATCTGGGGAAAGAAAGCAAGCTGTCTGCTATGAACATCTCTCCTCTTCCTCTTCATAGATGAAGGGAAGGCAATCCTAAGGTATCAGATATGGGAAGAGGGGAAGTGAAAAAAGTCTGTCTAAATCCGGGGAAAGGAGCGTTGGCTGCAGCACAGTCATTGCCTAATGTGTGCTGGTGGTACTGACCCTTGTTTGAGGAATTATGCTCATTAGTTAGACAGTGGTCGTCTGTACCTTTAAGACCAGGGCATCTCCTTAATGGCTTTAGGTTGTGACAAGTGGAACTGATCAGTTGGTATGGCCTGTGACTGACATCACTGCTTCTAGGTAAGGGCAGCTGATGCCCTCCTGACTATGATAGAGAATGTTTCTCTGAGACCTCAGATGGGGAAAATGTTCCCCTCCATGCCTTGCTCTGCAGAGGGAGGGTACCCTTGGCATCAAGGTCACAGGGAAGGCAGTATTGAGACAGCGGGACTTTTGCTACTTACAGGTCGTATCCATGCAAAACGGTCTGCAGGGAAAAAGCTCATCTTTTATGATATTCGAGGAGAGGGAGTCAAGCTGCAGGTCAAGGCGACGTCCAGGTATGTCAAGCTGCCAGCCCAGCACGTGGAAGGCTTGGAGGTGCTCTTGGTTTTATTTTCGCAACCCTGTTCTCTAAAATGATGGTAAGGTAGAGTTGGGTGGGGTGAGTAGAGGTGAGCAGAGGTGAGCAGAGCTCAGGTCATTCAATTAACTAGAATTTATTGGATGCATGAATGGAGAGATCAGTAAACAGTAGAGGGAAAAATCCTGCGCTCAGTTGGTTTGTAATAATAGCTAGCATTTCTATAGTGTTTTACATTTTATAAAGCGCTTTGCAAAAGATGCTACAAGGAACCACCTTACATGTTTGTTTAGGATTTTAGTGAAGGACCTAGGGTGAGAGCACAGGTCATCATGAACTTGGGCTACTGTGTACTGAATTGAACGTCCCTTCCCCTCAGGAATTATAAATCAGAAGAAGAATTTTTTCATGTAAATAACAAACTTCGACGGGGAGACATTATTGGGGTTCAAGGGAATCCGGGCAAGACCAAAAAGGGAGAGCTGAGCATTATTCCCCATGAGATTACGCTCCTGTCACCATGCCTTCATATGTTGCCTCATCTTCATTATGGCCTCAAAGACAAGGTGAGCTCGCGGCGCCTCCTCCCTGTGATTCCAGCCCTTTTTGGGGCTTAATGTGTTCTTTTACCACCTCTCAGTGTTCACTTTCTTAGGCCTTCGGTCTCACATCTGCATTTTATGTATCAGGATACAATGACTTAGTAACTACTGTGTTTGTTTCTTAAAGGAAACACGTTATCGCCAGCGATACTTAGACTTGATCCTGAATGACTTTGTGAGACAGAAGTTCATCACCCGCTCCAAGATAATTACCTACATAAGGAGCTTCCTAGATGAGTTGGGCTTCTTGGAGGTGAGGAGAGAGCCTTTCTAACATTTGTTCAGACATTCCTGATGTGTATGTTCCCCGCTGCTCCCTGCTCCGTCCTGAGGATTGCTCTGTGTCAGTAGCTTCCAGTTCCTGCTGAGGTAGTCCCTTCTCTGCCACTGTCCTAGTTCCGCCATGTTTCCATAATTCCCCAAGTACTGGTCCAGGACCTGACTTTGCAGAGTGGCATTCATACAGGGAGCAGGGGTGCTGGCTTGAGGAGGTGACTGGTGGACATCCCAAAAGGGTCTGTCCTGACGTTCTCATGAATTAGGCAGTCCTGGGCTGCGAGATTAGTGGCAAAAGAGCCACAGTTTTGTGAGAAACACTTCTCTGTGGTCCATGATGCTTACTTCCTAACTCAGGAAATGATGAGCTTAGAATGAATAACAAATGTCACGTGCCTGTGCTCTTCTTGGTGCTGCAGTCAAGTTTCTCTTTCTCTTTCTAGATTGAAACTCCTATCATGAATGTCATCCCAGGGGGAGCTGTGGCCAGGCCCTTTGTCACCTACCACAACGAGCTGGACATGAACTTGTTTATGAGAATTGCCCCAGAGCTCTATCACAAGGTGAGAAAACCATAGCCCCTCTTCCTTAGTGAATGGGCCAGCAGGTCATGGCAAGTCGGTGCAGAAATCAGCTTGACCAGAATGGGCTGGAGCCTTGCACGTAGCTCCCAGAGCTATATTTCTACCGCTTCTGTCTCCTGAGCTTAATCTCGAATCCCTAAGTGCCTCATGGGTATTTCAAATGTATTTCTCTTGTGCATCTCAACGTCTAGAAAAGAATTCATTATCTTTCATCCTAAGCCCACCCCTCTCCCTAAGTCTCTATTTCTGGTGAGGGTTTCACCATCCTTCCAGGCACACAAGTTTGTTACTTTAAAGATATCCTCAACTCTCCATTCTCCCTCACCTCAGAATCCAGTCAAGGCTTGCCAGTTCTTCACCAAATCTCACAACCATCTATGCCCCTCTTTCTGCTTACACAGCTTCTGCCCTGCTATGGGCCTTCCTGGCCTTCTCATGGATCTTTCTGCCTCAAGTCTCTCCTTTCTCATCCATCTTCTACACACTTACCAAGTGAGAGTTCTTAAATACATGTCTGACCATGTCACTTCTCCATTCAGAAAACTCTAGTGGCTCCAAATTGCTCCTAGCATAAAAGAAAAACTCCTCTTTGGGGCAGTTAAAATCCTTTACCATCTGGCTCTAGCCCCTGGTTCCAGGCTTGTTACATCTGATTCCCCTTCACCCATTCTTCAGTCTGGATCAGCTGGCTGACTTAGAGTTCGTTATCTGGCACGTTTCATCTCTTGCCTTTGCATAAGCCCAGGATCCCCTCCTCCTCACCTGCTGCCTTCCCCCAGTCCCTTCAACTCCTATTGCCTTCCCCCTCCACCCCAGTTACTTGGTACGCATTTTGTAGTTAGATGTATTCGTGGTGTTTTACCTGACAGAATGTAAGTCCCTCGAGGACAGGGCCTGTTTAGTTTTTGTCTTGGTGTCCTCAGCACCTAGTACTGTACCTGCCACATAGGAGGTTGTTGATTGTTTTATTGATTGAATAGAATATGAGAGTGAGGACAAGAAAGAGAGGTCTAGAGGAAGGAGAAAGAAATGTGTCTCCTTTTAGGATTTTTCCTTAAGATCTGGTTGTTGCTTCTTTTTCTTGACGTCTTAATTCCTTTTCCTGTCCAGTCACATGGGACACTAGATGGGCTACTATGCTGCCATATCTTTTTCCTTATGTTAGAGGTTATTTTAGGTTTTTTATGCAAAGGATTTGTGTGTACCTGTGTATTTTGACATCTTAGGTAATATCTCTAAACAACCATACATTTTTAGGGAGAAGGTTGATAGATATCAGTCAGTAAATACTGACTGTGCCCACAGTATGCCCAATATCTATTAGGTGTTTAAAGTGCAGAGACTTCTCTGTGTCTATAAATTTTAATCCTGGTCTATAAAAAACTTACAGTCATCCTGAGCTTTGTAAGCAAGTGTGGGCTTGTGCATGGAAGATTTTTAATGAAAAATCAGCTTTATTTCAACTTCTGTCGAAAACAAGATTTCAGATATTTAAAAAAAAAAAGAAAATAAGAAAACTCAGTATAAAGAAAACCAAAAGTGATTGTAAACCTAGCCATAAACTTTTGTGAATTGCCAGTTGTTTTTTAAAGATGTCTGTTGACTTTAACCTAATACTAATAAAATTGTGCTATTTCTGTTCCCTCTTCTGACTCAATGTCTCTCTCCCTCTCTCTCTCTCTCTCTCTTCTCTCCTTCCCTTCCCTCCCTCTCCCTTCCCCCTCTTTTGCTATTATTGTCTTTTTTGACACAATTTCTGTATGAATCTTTTGGTTCTCTTTTTCACTCTGCATCTTTTCACAGAAATCTTGCCATTTTAAAAAATATTCTTCATCATTATCATTTTATTTGGTGCAGCACCATAACACCGTTCCATTGTGTTGATATATTCAGCACAAGGTGATGAGGGCCCAAACTAGTGTGATAGCTATGTAATTATAGAGAAGCGGGTAGATATGAAGGATGTACTGGAGGTAAAATTGAAAGGACTTGGCAACTAATGAGATGTGGGGATTAAGAGAGAGGGAAGAGTCAGGTCTTTCACAAATAATAGGGTACATCATTTTAGTTTTGTTTTTTGTTTCCATGTTTCTTGCTGTCATAAATAGCAACATATTTTTGTACATGGAGGTCTTGTTATTATCCTCCTGGGGGTATAATTCCAGTAGTGGGATAACTGGATGAATAGGTATAAATATTTTTGTAATTTAATTGTATGATTCTGTATTGCCTTCTCAAAAGGTTGACCAAGTCATTTCCACCAAAATTGTATAAGCATGCATGATTTTTCCTCATAACTGCGCAAGCATCGTATGTTACCATCTTTTATTATCTTCCCCAACTTTAAGGATATGCAGTAGTCACTCAGAGTTGTTTTAATTTGCATCTTTTAGATGATTATATATTTTGAACACTTTTTCATATGGTCACTGATAATTTGTTTATTCTATTGACAATTCCCTGGCAGAATTTTTACAGGTCCACCTAACCAAGCCTTGCTATGTATGACTTGATTTCTCTGTGTTTAGATGCTGGTGGTTGGTGGCCTTGATCGGGTGTATGAAATTGGACGTCAGTTTAGGAACGAAGGAATTGATTTGACTCACAATCCTGAATTCACCACCTGTGAGTTCTACATGGCATATGCAGACTACCATGATCTCATGGAGATCACTGAGAAGATGATTTCAGGTAACTTATCCACCATGCCTTTGACAGGTGCTCTCAAGGACTTATGCGCCATATCAGGGGGAAGGGATTGTGGTAGATCTTCTTTAAGAAGTGGGTTTCTCTCTCAGGGATGGTGAAGAACATTACAGGAAGTTACAAGGTCACCTATCACCCAGATGGCCCAGAGGGCCAGGCCTACGATATTGACTTTACACCACCCTTCCGGAGAATCAGCATGGTGGAAGAGCTTGAGAAAGCTCTTGGCATGAAGCTTCCTGACACCAGTCTTTTTGAAACAGGAGGTAAAGACAGTCCTCCTTGACCTTAGCCATTGGATCAGAAACTTTCATTTTTTATGTCTTAACTTTTACATAATGCTTTAAGGTTTACAAAGCCATGTAGCTCTGCCATAGTTCTTTATACAATTCCTCTCCCAGGGACTTGGGAGCTCTCCCCTAATTTTGTGTGTTTGCATAACAGAAACTCGTAAGATTCTTGATGACATCTGTGTGGAGAGAGGTGTAGAGTGTCCCGCTCCCCGAACTACAGCCAGACTTCTTGACAAGGTAAGTGATCATGCGTGGCTTTGGGTTCTGGTCCCTCACATCCAGGAATGGATGGCTCCTTCTAGTCCCTGTGAAGACTGCAGCCCACAGTGAGGAGAATCCAGCTCAAACATCTTCCCAGGAGTCAAGCTAGATAGCTAGGAAAAGGATGAGCCCCATGTTCAGAAGCCTATTGTAGCCTTCCTTTGGGTGGGATTTAGGATTGGGATTAGGAAAGCGTTATTCTAACTTGTTTTCTAGCAATGTGTCCTTTATTGTTCAGCTTGTAGGTGAGTTCCTGGAAATGACCTGCATCAACCCCACCTTCATCTGTGACCACCCACAGATAATGAGCCCACTGGCCAAGTGGTAAGATACAGCATGGCTGCCCAGGAGAGGATTAGGGCATTAACAAATTCAGGTCAACAAATGTTTATTATAAGTGCTTTCAACATACCAGGCCCTGTGCTAGGAACAGTTGTCGTATATGAATGTAATGGAATACTATTGTTCTATAAAAAATGACGACCAGGCAGACTTCAGAAAAACCTGGGAAGACTTACGTGAACTGATGCTGAATAAAGTGAGCAGAACCAGAAGAACACTGTACGCACTTATAACAACATTGTGTGATGACTGACTTTGTTAGACTTAGCTTTTCTGAGCAGTGAAGCAGCGTGGACCACACACGTCAAACTGCCACCACCACTACCTTGACATCCCCCTCCTCCCCATCCTCTCCAGCCCTGATGGAGACAAACAGCCCCTGCCTTTCAGGAGCTTACACTCCACTAGGAGGATGCGGGGGGCAAGAGGGAAGCATTATTCCATGTTAGGTACTGTGCTAAATTCTTTACAAATGTCATCTCATCTAATCCTCACAACAACTCTGTACAATACCACGTGTACACAAAATGTGTAACTAATAAAGGAATTTCCTGAAAACAAGTGCAGATAACTGGGGGATCAGCTGAAGCCTCATGTTGGAGGCAATACATAAGCTCTGCTTTGAAAGAAATGGGGAACGCTGCATGGTGGAGTTAAAGAGGGAGAGTGTTTTAGGTGTGCAGCCACATAGAAGGTTGAGGAGAAGAAGGTTATTGTAGGCATGGGAACAGTTATGAGGACTGTTTGAAACAGGGACTAAATGAAGGAGAATCATGGGAAATAAGACTGGAAAGGTATATAGGAGCCAGATTTTGAAACACTTTACTTATTTTTTTTAATGTATTCATTTATTTATTTTTAGTTTTCACCATTTGCTTTTGTAAGATTTTGAGTTCCAAATTTTCCCCCCTCCCCAAGATGGCATGCAATCTGATATAGCTTATACATGTATGATCACATTAAATATATTTCCACATTAGTCATGTTGTGAAACAAGAATCAAAACAAAAGGGAAAAACCATGAGAAAGAAAAAACAAAAAATAACAAAAGAAAGAGAAAATAGTATGCTTTGATCTGCATTCAGACTCCATAGTTCTTTCTCTGGATGTGGATAGCGTTTTCCATTATGAGTCTTTTGGAATTATTTTAGACCATTGCATTGCTCAGAAAAGCTAAGTCTAACAAAGTCAGTCATCACACAATGTTGCTATAACTGTGTACAGTGTTCTTCTGGTTCTGCTCACTTCATTCAGCATCAGTTCGTGTAAGTCTTTCCAGGTTTTTCTGAAGTCTCCCTGGTCATCATTTTTTATAGAACAATAGTATTCCATTACCTTCATATACGACAACTTGTTCAGCCATTACCCAATTGATGGGCATCCCCTCAATTTCCAGTTCTTTGCCACTACAGAAAGAGGTGCTATAAATATTTTTGTACATGTGCACCCTTTCTCTTTTTTTATGGTCTCTTTGGGATACAGATCTGGTAGTGGTATTGCTGGATCAAAGGGTATGCACAGTTTGGTTGCCTTTTGGGCATAGTTCACAATTATTCTCCAGAATGGTTGGATCAAATAGCAACTCCACCAGCAATGCATTAGTGTTCCAATTTTCCCATATCTTCTCCAACATTTATCATTTTCCTTTTTTGTCATATTAGCCAATTATATAGGTGTGAGAAAGTACATCAGTAGTGATTTAGAACATTTTTTCATATGATTATAGATATCTTTAATTTCTTCATCTGAAAACTGCCTACTCATATCCTTTGATGATTTATCAATTGGGGAATGACTTGTGTATTCTTATAGATTTGATTCAGTTCTCTATATATTTTAGAAATGAGGCCTTTATCAGAGACACTGGCTATAAAAATTGTTTCCCAGCTTTCTCCTTCCCTTCTAATCTTGGTCGCATTGGCTTTGTGCAAAAATTTTTTAATTTAATGTAACCAAAATTATCCATTTTGCATTTCATAATGTTCTCTATCTCTTGTTTGGTCATAAATTCTTCCCTTGTTGGAACACTTTAAATGCAAAGGTGAGAATTTTGTATTTTGCCCTAGAGACAACAGGAAGCCATTTAAGATTTTTAGTGGGAGACATGTGACATGGTCAGATCCTTGCCTAAGGCCCATGCGTGTGGCAACCTGTATGGAAGATGGACTGGCAAGAACAAGATTGGAAGTAGAGAGACCAGTTAGAAGGCTGTTACAGACTGTTCCAAGGTGGCTGCAGCCATGCTGGGCTGGGAGTTCACTGTGTTAAGCAGCATCCTTCCTTCTCTCTGTACTCGGTCCTCTCCCAGAAGAGCAGCGCTATTGTCCCCTGCCTGGCCTAGTTCTCCTGCCTTCTATATGGAGCTGCTCAAGGGCCTGGGATAGCAGGGCTCACCAACTTCCCTATCGTCTTGACCGAGATTTAGACCTTGGTGGGTGACCCAGACACCGATCTGTTTTTCTGCTGGACCCTTAGTGGAAGTGACCATTATCAGGGAAGACAACCGAAAGGGCCAGCCATCCCTATCAATTATCAAACAATTTAGCAGGCAGGCAAGCAGGGCAGCCAAAACAGCGAAATCCCGAGGGAGAGACAAGAAGCAGCATGGACCACACACGTCAAACTGTCACCACCACTACCTTGACATCCCCCTCCTCCCCATCCTCTCCAGCCCTAATGGAGACAGCCCAGGACCCTAACCCTAAGCACTTTGGGCATAGCAGTGCCCTCAGCCATCATCCTGGAAAGTGACTAGGGAGAGGTAGCCTGGTAGCCGCTCCTGCAGGTGCTGAAGACCCTGAGAGAAAGTTCTTGCCACCAAAGTCCTTGGCACTGGTTATCAGCACAGTGCTGCTGCATTGTAACCGCCATGGGACCCTTAACTTGCGATTTGATTGTAAAGGAAAAAAGTTATTGGATGATAGGATTGAAAGGAGGATTTTTAAATGATGGAGAAGACCCGGGGAGGAGGTAGGAGGCAGAGAAGGAACCGAAGGATAAGGAGAGATCGAAGACCAGAACAGAGAGTGATGGAAGCTTAAGCTCCTGGGGAACTGGTGAGAGCTAGGATCAGAAGTACCCTGGTTGAGGAGAATGTGCCTCTTTATTAGACACTGAAGCAAAGAAAAGAAGGGTTTTGAAGTAAGGACTTGCTTAGGGCTAGATTTTCTCCGTAATATAGAAGACAAAGCCTTCTGTTGAGAGGGGGCTAGCAGGAGGGCATGTAAGAGGCCTTGGGGGAGAAGAGGTTTGGAATGGCCAGCTGTGTAGAGTGTGATAGTCATTCAGGTGAGAAGTAACGGATTGTCATCCAACAGTGGGGACTCAGCTAGGATTAGATAACCTAATAAGGAGATCCTGGAAGCAACCCCCAATGTCCAATGCACATAGACACATTGAACGCCTTTGGTACATTGAGGCTCACGAGCAGGCCAGCTATTGCCCCCAGGGGCAAGAGCAAAGGTTCTTAACCTGGGGACCATGGACTTGTTTTTTTAGATATTTCAATAATCATATTTCAGTATAACTGATTTCCTTTGTAATGCTATCATTTAATTTTCTGCAATTAAAAACATGGTTGAGAGAGAGAGAGCGAGCGAGCCATGGTCTTCCCCAGACTGGCACAGGTGTCCATCATGGCTCCTTTGCTATTCTCAGTGCCTAGATGCTGAGGCCTGAAATATGTCATGTCTCTGCATTCTTTGTTGTGGATTTTCTGTGGGGTTTGGTACCACATCTCTCTCTGTATTTATACTTTGCTTTGTGACTGCCAAAGCCTCCATATCAGCTGAAGTTGAGCAGTTATACCAATTGCTGAATTACTGATGGACTAGAACTTCAGTCCCCCTTTCTGTATTGGATCCCTTCATGAGGCAATGGAAAGAGGCCACTGATCGTGACCTGTGTGGGCAAGCCATTTCTGTGGTCTCACTTTCCTCATTTGTAAAAGGAAAGGGCTGAACTCGTTGCCTGTCCAACAAGAAGCCTCGTTTCCAAGCTCATCACTGTCCTTTGGTTTTCATCGTGCAGGCATCGCTCCAAGAGCGGCCTTACCGAGCGCTTTGAGCTCCTTGTGATGAAGAAGGAAATCTGCAACGCCTACACAGAGCTGAACGACCCTGTGCGGCAGCGGCAGCTTTTTGAAGAGCAGGCCAAGGTAGGGACGAATGAGCAGGAACAATAGAATCTAATCAGTTACTTCCACAGAATCTAGGCCCTGACACATTTCAGATTATTGCCTGCTTCCCTTTGTAAGTCAGTAAGAAGCTCAGCAAATAGCTGTGGCTCTATTCTAAGGGAAAACACATGGAAATAAAGATTTTGACAGAGACCGTTAGCAGTGCAGGGGCAGCATGTGATCTCTGGAAGATGTCCTGCTCAGTCACAGCCTCTCTACATCTTAGCCACAGAGAAATGTGTGTTTATCCAGAAATGACTGGACAACCTTGTTCCATAATACAGTCTGGTTGTTGGTAGCTCCCTAGAGTAGTAGCCCCCTGGGGCACCTTACTTTGTGCAGGTGGGTACTAAAATTTTAGTGTATGCAATTCAGCATTGACAGGCTCACCCTTTTTTTTCTCATCTAGGCCAAAGCTGCAGGTGATGACGAGGCCATGATTATGGATGACAGCTTCTGCACCGCCCTAGAGTATGGGCTCCCACCAACGGCCGGCTGGGGGATGGGCGTTGACAGACTCGCTATGCTTCTTACAGACTCCAATAACATTAAGGTAAATAGCCGACTCTCCCCGTCTCGTTCCAAAGAGCTCATGTTCTGAAAAGGACACATTTTCTGTGGTTTCTCCTCTCCTACCTTGAGCCTTAAGTAACTTAAGTTCTCTACTCTACTTCCCCAATTATAAAGAAACAGAGAAAAAAAGTCTGTCCTTTCCATCTATTGTGTGAAAATTTCTGATCTGGTTTAGTGCTTACGTCCTAGAGTTAACAGCTAGTGGCAAAGGAAACTGGGCTGTTTCTGTTCTCTTTCAAGGCGTGTCCTCTGGCCACCTCCCTGGGAAGTCCTTTAGTTGCAGCTATTTGCTGAAGAAGAGAAAAATGTTAAAGTAGGATAGTGGTAGAAGAATTTACATGCAGCTTCCTAAGCACAGTACATATTTCTCCCCTCTAGGAGGTTCTTCTCTTTCCTGCCATGAAACCAGAAAACAAGAAGGAGAATCCAGCAAACACTGGTTTACCAGAAGGCCCGCCAATTGTCACCTTTAGCTAGAGGGTAACCCATGTGACTTGACCATCTTTTCTGACCTTGGAAAGAAAATTCAGAGCCAGAGGGGACCACATGGAGTCCACTCACCAAATATATATTAAGTACATAGGATGGACCAGGCATTGTGCTGGGTGCTAGGGGCTACAAGGACAAGAATGAAGCAGACCCTTTCCTCAAGGAAGCTCCAGGGTCCTACCACTCTCTAGTTTGAGATGTTACTGAAATGAGGAAGCACCCCCTGAGAATGGCTTTCTGCATCTCATCCCCAATAAATCCTGTCAGTCTTTTGCCGCTCACCTTCATTTCCCACTAACCTTGAAACGCCTCTGTTCCAAGTGCTTTCATAGGCACAGCTGCTTTCTCAGACTCATGCAGAACTTGGTGCTGGCAGTGAACAGAAAGTGGTCCTTTTTCTATAAAGAGCCACAATTGAGAGTGAAATGCTTCCTTTTTGAGATCCATGAAAGCAGAAAACATCCAGCAGGCAGTGTGGCATGGTAGAAGAATGATGGTATTTGGCGGCTGCTCCTTACAATGGGGCAGCTTCAGGTAAGTAACTCTACTCTCTGGGCCTCATGGGTCCTCAGATGAGAAACGATTGGATTGTCCCCAAGCATTCATTCCAACAAGACGTTCTTGAGCAGCTATATCATGCTCTGTGCTCGGTGCTGGGATGGTGCTGAAGTCCTTAAGTTCTCTGGGATGAAGGATGTTAGTCCCGGAAGAAAAACATGCCATCTGAAAAGGCTGAGACTTGAAATGGTTGGGGACGTGGCTTAATGGGCCGATGGCTAACCTTAGAATCAGAAAGACCCTAATTTGAATCCTGCCTTAGACACGCATTAGCTGTGGGACCTCAGGCAAGTTACCTGTCCTCTCTGATTCTAATTTCCATCTATGCAAATGGGGATAATAATAGCATCTCCCTCGCAGAGTTGTTGTAAGGATCATCTATGATAACATAGTGAAAGTGCTTTACAGACTTTAAAATGCCATATACATGTTAGCCGTTGTTATTTGTAGAAAGAAAGATAGAGTCTTAAATGCAAAAATGAATTCTTCTTTTGTGTAAAAGATTATGAGAATACCTGTGCTTTCTAGAGTGAAGGGTATTTCCTTAAAAATACATGGATAGCAGATGTAACCTAGACATAGAAGAAAGCTACAGTTTTGGAATGAAGAACATAGCACTAGATATATAGAATATAGTATGGGAATCCAAGAAAAAAGACAGTCTGGCATCTTTTGAGGAGGAGGAGAACATCCCCAAGTAAATGTGATTAAGATAAAAAAAACCTCACAGTAAATATTACATGAAGCCTACAGGAGACACTAGATTATACAATCTGGAAGCCAAGCCAGTCATTGAAAATATCAAAGAGAAAAAACGTGAGTCTCAAGTCCTTTCTGTGTATGAACTTTAGAAGCTGAAAGAGCTCGAGAAAACTGCTTTCCTGGCCGCTAGGGCGTGACTTCGGCCCAGCTGATCTTCTCATCTGTAAGGCCAGACCCAGCTCTTGGGACACAGGCTGCCCAGCTGAGAGCAGAGGCTGAGGAGGCTGCTGAGCTCCAAGGTTCTCTGCTTCAAGTTCTGGCTCTTCAATAAGTCCGCCCAAGCCTTCTTGACCCGGAATTTCTGGCCATATTGGCCAAGGCATGAGTAAACTAGTGGGCTCTTCATGCCCTTTCCAGGACTGACCGTCAATGAACCAAGACATTGAAGGAGACTGTGGAGACCACGAGGTTGAGGGGGCATCCCCAGATCCTCCCCAAGACCTCCCCTATGGAAGCCCTCTTCCTTCCTGTTGTTTCTCTGTGAGTTCAGAGAGGGCAGAAGGTGGGTGAAGAAAGGAAAGAGGGACCTAGTACCCTCTGGCTGTGTTAGTCATCACAGATAGTCTGCATTTGGGTCACCTTTTTATAGGGCAGTGACCAGCGCCAGGCCTGGGAAACATTATGGCCATCCCTGGAATTTGGGTAGAAGGAATCATTTCCGAAACCCTGCCCGTGAGTAATGAACTAAACCCAGGACTGGAGCTGAGGCAAGACTTGTAATTGTGAGAAATTGTATAACTGGGAGGCCTAGACCAGAGGCCCCCGGGCCAGATCCTCGTAGTGCATTAAGAGGTAGTGTCTCTGCAGAGGGCCATTGTGTTGCTGTGCGGCCTCATTGTTGGCTTTGGCAAATCACCTTCATCAAGTAATAGGGCCGGTCTTTGTCCTTAAGCCTGCTCCACTGCTGCCCCAGCAAAATGTGATCATCCAACATCAGCTTACCTTTTGTGCATTCTCGGGAACAGAACACGGCTCAGGCGTCACGTACCAGGTGAGCAATGTGCAGGTTGAGAGCCAGGTTACTCAGCAGTGGGTAGAGGCCCTTGAGGTTGAAGAAGCGCTAAAAGGTATTCTGAGTTCTTCAAACAGATCTCTGTCAGAATGTAAAAGTAAAAGGCAAAATAATTGCTGCAACTCATGACTCAGAACCCATAGCTCTGAGATCACAGACACCAAATACCGTTTTGACAGCTTCTCAGATTGTCATTTCTGTGGTTTATATTACCCTCACTCAGGACTCAGGCCCTGGGAATATCTGAATTTTAACTCATTTCTGTTCCTCCCCTGTAATTATTCAATTCCCTTGAAAGTTTCTCAGGCTACCAAGGCATGAAAGGCAAGTCAATAAGAATTTATTGTGCACCTCCTGTGTGGTAGGTACTACTACTACCTTTATTCATTAGAGTTACAAAGAAAAGCAGAAGCAGTTCCTGCTTTCAAGGGGCTCACAATGTAATGGGGACATGCAAACAACTTTGTTCCGATAGATTGAGCATAAATCTAAGGTAATCCCAGAAGAAGGACACTAACAATAAGGGAGGAGGCAGCTAGGTGGTGCAATGGATAGAGCTCTGGCCTTGGAGTCAGGGGGACCTGAGTTCAAATCTAGCCTCCGACACTTGACCCTTACTAACTGTGTGACCTTGGGCAAGTCACTTAACGTCTCTTGCCTCACCACAAAAACAACAACAACAAAAAGGGTGACCAGGAGAGGCTTCTTGTAGTAGATGGAATTTTAGCTGAGACTTGAAGGAAATCATGTGAGTCAGAGGGTAACCAGGGAAGCCGGAAGGTGGAGAGCAGGAGGGAGAACAGCCCAGGGAAATGCAGTGTGGAGGAGGGAGGGTTGTGAGCAAGGAACAGCAAAGTAGGTTGGAGTCATGATGTCACAGATTGCGGAAAGGGTAAGAAGATGAGAAAGGTCGGAGAACTTTGTACTTGATCCTAGAGGCAATAGGGAGCCACTGGAGTTCATTGAATAGGGGATGAAATGTTGGCTCTGCACTTTGGGAAGATCACTTTGGTAGCCAAGTGGAGAGTGGACTGGCATGGGGAGAGGCTTGAGGCAGGGAGACCAGCCAGAAGGCTATTGCAGTAGTCCAGGTGTGAGGTCAGGGCCCGTACGACAAAGGTAAAGTCAACAGATTGGATGTGAGGCTGAGAGAGGGAGGAGCCAAGAAGAGCATCTCGGTTGTGAGCCTTGAGTGCCTGGGACAGTGGTGTTACTCTTGACAGTAATAGGTAAGTGAGCAAGAGGGGAAAGAAAGAGAGTGAGTTGGGGTTGTGTTGAGTTTAAGATGTGTATGGGACATCTAGTTCCAGATGTCTAATTGAGCTTTGGGGATAAGAGACTGGAGGTCACAGGAGACATTGGGGCTGGATAAATAGATCTGAGAATCATCTGCATAGATGACATGAATGTGGAATATAGAACAATTTTATTATACCCACAAATAAAGAAATTCTATCTGAGCCCATAGTCAACCTAACCTTCTGGTGGACATCGTCTTGCCTAGAGACTATAGGGTCTGTCCAGCTTAATGCTTAAAACATTTTTTTCAACGTTTAGATTTTTGACTCAGTTAACAAGTTTTCTACGCTAAGTATGGATACAAACTACTCTTTTTTTTTTTTTTTTTTTTTTGATACAGCTCTCCAATTTTCCTGACATTGAATGATGGAAAAAAGACTGAGAGAAGGGTTTATAAATTCTCAGTTCTATCTCAGCCACTCCAGAGGCACCAGCTCTTCCTGTTTGGAAGCCAGTTAGAAGACTGTTCATCATCACACAGTATTGGCCCTTCAGCCCTGACGCTTACCAGCAATGTAACCCTGGACCAATCAATCACATTTCACCTCCTCTGAACTTCAGTTTCCTCATCTCTAAAATGGGGTTAATCCTTGTGCTTCATAGAATAATTGTGAGGTAAGCACCTAGTAACCTTGAAAACACTTTATGAATGGCTTACTTCTCATTGTTATGATAATGTTTTATTCAAGAGAAACACTAGTAAACATTTGTTGAACTGAGCTATTGCGTCTTAAAAGTGCCCCTGCCCATCGACTGCTGGTTTCCTGGCTGGTGTTTATGGAGAAGATAGCACCACAATCTTGGTGAATGGATATTGCAACCTTTTGGCTTATTTTCTGCCTCCAGTCATCAAAGCCACAGCTAACACGGAGCCTCCACAGCTTTGTCCCAGGATGCCAGAATTAGCCGGAGCGCTGACTCTTCTCGCCACCTTCCAGTGGTCCCTCACCAAGCGGAAGGAGACTCCAGGTGCTCTGCAGGTTCTGTTCTAGAACAACAAGGGTCCAGGGGAGAGGTGTGGCACCAAGCAGAAGGGCAGTGCAGATTCTGGGTAGTTCAGGGATAAGTGACAGCAGGGGACGTGATCTGAATGATTTCTAAAGTTCTTTCAGCTCAAAGATTCTGTGGTCTTACGGTTTAAGGTGTGTCAGCCGCAGAAACAAGACTCTCAGCCCCATGTATTCTCTTTCTTTACTTCTCCCTCCTCTACCCCGCAATTCCAGGTAAGAGAACCATGAAGCAAAGAAGCCTTGAAAGCCTGAGAGGGTCTAATGTACTCGCTCCGTTTCCCCTGAACAATTGCAGTTTTCATGTCAAGTTTCCTGAATTAGAAAAGAAACTGACCCGTTTTGTTGTGAAAGAAGAGAAATTCTGCTCTTTCCTTTTTCACTGTGTCTGTTTTCCGTTTCATTGGGGCAGTGCACAAGCATCTGGTAAGCAGCTCCCACCTTATTTGCAACTCATCATCAAATGTGATGAATACCTACTATGTTAAGGTCACTGCTGTGCACACAGATGAGTCCAAAACATGTTCCCTACCCTCAATCATCTGCTTAATTGAGGAGACAGTGCATACGTGTAATAAGATGAAAATAAAAGGTCCCATCGTATGCCAATCAACAAATGAGTAGGATAACAGTAAATGCCCTTCTGCCATTGCTGTGCACAATGGAGGGTGCTGAGACTCAGAGTTATTTGCATTGCCATCCAGTGGCAACAATTGTTTTGAAATAATTTGTAAGTAAACATATGGGAGAAAAAGGCAGAGTTATTTTTCTAAATCATCTCCAACCTAACAACTTCACAAAAAGAAATTATCTGTTGTATGTAGAACACCAAAGCTGAATCCACAGGATAAGAAGGCAGAAATAGTGTGCAAGGGAAAACACAAACATAATGTCACAAGATGCCATCACGATACAATACATTCCATCACAACACTGGAGGAGAACCTGAATACTTAGAGTTTCCATTTAGCATTTGCACCTTTGAAATCACTCAGCACTTGGAGCAGTGAACCCAAGCAGCTGCCAAGAACTTTGCTTAATGGAATGGGGTTAACCCTCTCTCACCTCACTGATCCTCCTGAGCTGTGAGGATGAAAGAGGAACAGCCGGGGTGTGCATGTGGCAGATAAGGCAGCGTAGAGCGCAGCACGAAGGTGGCTAGAGAACTGCCTGTGCCTGAGACAAAAGGAGCCAAAACCCCTTCTCAGCAGGCCAAGCTTATCACGAACACCCAGCCTTGGAGAGTCGAGGCATCTCAAACCTAACGTGTCTAAAACCAAAACCATTCTTTTTTGCCCCAGAGCAGCCTCTCTTCCAAACTTGCCTGTTGCTATCGAAGGCATCACCATTATTCCAGTTTTCCAGGTTTGTAACCTCAGCTTGGGGCAGCTAGATGACACAGTGACCTATCCTACAAATCTAAGCCTAACTATAAATTTTTTAAAAGGATGAATATTCAATAATAAATGGACATTTGAAATAATCTTAGAAAGAACTTGAAGAGATTATTTCCTTTTAAAATGCCCCAGACAACAGAAATACAAGAAGGGTAAACAAATACAGAAACCAAAAATGACAACAAAATTAACAGTGACCATTAAGGGCCTTCTTTCTTTCTTTCTTTCTTTCTTTTTTAATTTTTGGCTAGGCAGTGGGGTTAAGTGACTTGCCCAGGGTCACACAGCTAGTTAAGTGTTAAGTGTCTGAGGCCAGATTTGAACTTGGGTCCTCCTGACTCTAGAGCCAGTGCTCTTATCACTGTGCCACCTAACTGCCCGAAGGGCCTTCTTTCAGTGGTGAACAGAGAAGCCAAAGAGAAGTGGTGATGGAGAAACTAGTCGGAAACATTGTAAACCAAACCTTACAGTACCTTACTTATAGGCAAACCAATGTTTGTTTGTTTTGTGGGAGACCAAATTACAAAATAGGAGGGCACATAAAAAGAGAAAGCAGAGGAAGAAGATAAAAATGTGCCCTAATCATGAGAGGCTAACAGTGAAGGGCAAATAACTACTTCAGTCTTTCAGGAATAAAACAACCTACAGGAGAATGGACAAGGAGGCAAAAGGGAGAGATTAAGAAACGGAGAAACCTTGTTTCAGTGGTGGGAGGGAGCACCACTGATGAGGGCTATGGGAGAAGAGACAGGGATTTTGTCCACTTCAGTGGATGTTATTTGCAGGGATTTGGTGCTTAGACCATTCATCCTACATTAGGAGTAGGAGAATCAGAGCTCCTGGGAACAAGAGACATCTAAAAGAATGGGAAGCCATGGACCCAAGGAAAAAACTTTAAGGCTAATGAAGACAAAATGACCAAGAGTAGGACAAAGGTCAATAATGGACTGACAATCAGAGACATGGGAAGAATCCTACTAAAGGGTAGTATCCTCTCTATTACCTGTAGGAATTGTTATTTCCAGAAGTAAGATAAAATAAAAGGGGGTCGGGGGGCGCAAGGGATAGGATCTAAAAGTAATAACAGAATCTGTTTTAAGAGAGAAACAAAAAGAAACCCCAAAGTTCTAATTCCATGAGGAATAAAGAAAACAAAGGACTAAATGTATAGGCAGTGAAGCAAAGAACAAAAGTCTGGAATAGACAGAAGGGGAAAATAAATAATGAGAATGAGGGGAAAAGAAAAGTGCAGAAAGTGAAAAATAATTTAAAATAATGGAAAAATTGGAAGAGGTAGAGAGAATGAGGGATTCTACTTGACTGAGGGGGAGAAAGGGGAGAAATTAAATAAGCAGATAAAAACAAGCAAGAAAAAGGAGCTAATAAGCAAAGCTCCACACTCAGAGAAAGGAGTAATAAACAGGAGACAGAGGTGAGGAGGAACTTTAGCGTTAAGGGAAGATAACCAGTGGAATATGGTCGCCTTTAAAAAGATTGAAACACTGGGAAAACTGGGAGAGAGTGTGGCAGAAACTGGGCACGGACCAAAATCTCACCCCGTTTGCTGAGATAAAGTCAAAATGGGCTCATGATTTAGATACAAAGGCTGACACTACAAGCAAACTGGGAGGGTGAGGAACAGTTTACCTGTCAGATCTATGGAGAACAGAAGAATTCATGACCAAACAGGAGAGAGAGAACATTACGAGAAGCAAAATGGATAACTGATTACATTAAATTGAAAAGTTTTTGCACAAACAAAGCCAATGCAACTAAGATTAGAAGGAAGGTAGAAAATTGGGAAAGAATTTTTACAACCAGTCTCTCTGATAAGGGCCTCATTTCTAAAATATATAGAGAATTAAGTCAAATTTATAATACAAGTCATTCCCAATTGATAAATGGTCAAAGAATATGAACAGGCAGTTCTCAGATGAAGAAATTAAAACCATCTGTAGTCATATGAAAAAATGCTCTAAATCACTGTTGATTAGAGAAATGCAAATCAAAACAACTCTGAGGTACCCCATCACACCTATCAGATTGGCCAACATGACAAAACAGGAAAATGACAAATGTTGGAGAAGATGTGGGAAAATTGGAACACTAATGCATTGTTGGTGGAGTTGTGAAATGATCCAACCATTCTGGAGAGCAATTTGAAACTGTGCCCAAAGGGCTTTAAAAAATGTGTATACCCTTTGACCCAGCAATAGCACTTGTAGGGCTATGTCACAAAGAGATCATACAAATGGGAAAAGAACCCACGTGTACAAAAATATTCATAGCAGCTCTTTTTGTGGTGGCAAAGAATTGGAAATTGAGAGGATGCCTATCAATTGGGGAATGGCTGAGCAAGTTGTGGTATATGAATGTGATGGAATACTATCGTTCTATAAGAAATGATGAGCAGGCTGAATTCAGAAAAACCTGGAAAGACTTGTATGGTCTGATGCTGAGTGAAGTGAGCAGAACCAGGAGAATGTTGTACACAGTAACCGCCACGTTGTGGGATGACTAATGTTAATAGACTTAGCCCTTCTCAGCAATACAAGGATCTAAGATATGTGTGACCCTGGGCAAGTCACTTAATCCTGTTTGCCTCCATTCCTTTGCCAAATGAAGTCACAAAGAGTCAGATACAACTGAACAATATGAGTAGAGATATGGGGGCAGCTAGATGGCGCAGTGAATAGAGCTCCTGGTGTTCAAATCTGGCCTTGGACACTTGCTGTGTGAGCAATTTTTTAACTCTGTTTGCCCCAGTTCCTCATCTATAAAATGAGCTGGAGAAGGAATGGCAAACCACTGTAGTATCTTTGCCAAGAAAACTCCAAATGGGGTCATGGAGAGTCAAACATGACTAAAATGACACAACAACAAAATGATGAAAAATGTTACCCACCTCCAGAGAAAGAACTGATAAGAGTTTGAATGCTGATCAAAGAATAGTGGTTGTTGTTTTTTACTTTTTTTTTTGGTTGTGTTTTCTTTCACAGCATTACTAACATGAAAATATGTTTTGAATGACTCCACATGTATAACTTTTATCAAATGGCCTTTTCAATGAGGGGGAGAGAAGAGAGGGTAGGAGAGAACGTGGAACACAAAATTGTTTAAAAAAAAAAAAGGTGAAATTGTTTTTACATGTAATTGGAAAAAAATACTAAAAATGTTTAAATAAGAAATTTACTAAGAGAGTAGTGCCATAGTTCTTACCAATCAACAGTTGGTACAAAGCTGTTTTGTTTTTCCCAGATTTAGCAGTACACTTTCCCCCTTGTGGTCCCTGGGGATATCGTACTTAGTAGTAGTGAGGTACGTGTCTAGACCAGAACATTTATGGTAAAGTGATACCTCATGACTCCTGTCCTGGAAGTCTTTTTATCCCTCCCTGGAGTCTTCTTGAAGTTTCCCTTAGCTACAGCTTGCTGCTGGGCGGGTCATTCACTCCTGGGCAAGGCCAAGCATGTTGCTTGACTGCTCAGGTGACTCCTCGTCAGGTTCAGCCCTGTTGGGCTGGACCAAGCCTCTCACTTAACCATTGGACACAGCTTTTCACCAATCTCAGCTTCTGCTGCCCCTGCAAATTCATCTGATTCTGAAATGTCCACAAGGTCACTGCCTGGGCATATCTTTCTCAAAGTTGGTATTTGCTCATGTCCCAACTCCTGTAGCTACTGCTCCTGCCCCTGTTGAGCTCTGCTACATACTTTGATGGAACCTGAGGATCTCCTGAACTCGCAGGGTTACTGGCTGGGCAATTCCATCTCAGGATACAGTCACCTAAAATAGGGAATGATAAACACAAAAAAGAGATATTCCACCCTTTCCTGCTATCTCTGTGCCAAATAAAGCAACCTTCAAATTTTCCACATCTCTCCCTGAGCACTCCACCATATGTTACAACTCAAAAACTTGGAGAGGAGTTGGCCATACTATGGAGACTGGAACTATAAACTCTGATGCCTGGGCTGCCCTCTTT